GCGTCGCCGCTCGTCCGTGTGTGCCTGTGCTCTCGTGCCTGTGCGAGTGCGTGTAACGCGCGCGCCCCCCCTCGATGCCTGTGTGATACCTGTACACACACGGCGTGTACGATCGAGCCTGCGTGTATAGCGGCTCCGCTTCTTTCCCTCTTCTTCTATCTTCTCGTATCCTCCGCGTTCCGTGCGCGTGTTCGTGATTGGTCGGTGCGTGGCATTTTTAAAAAGTCGTCCTGCTTCTGTCCGTTATAACCAAGAGATCCGGCCAGCGGCGATGTCGCGAAACCGCGAGTAAATCGATACGTCGATCCACGTCGAAATAATGTCAATGCGCAGCGAGTTTCGTTCGCGAGTTCTTTCGATCGTTCGCTGCTGGTGATCGACGCGCGAGGGTTTCGCCGCTTTTTATCGTCGACGGTTCAAACGGATACCGCGAGGGGTACGCATGAGATCCGACCAGGAAAGGAACGGGGGGCTACGGTACCGGCTCTCCTGCACCCACGACTCTTCGCGGCGCTTTCGTACGATCAGCGGAAAATTCGAACGCGCCGGAAAACCTTCCTGACCCCTGCGACCTTCGTCGTTGACGGATAAAGAGCAGAGCAGGGAAATCCGGTGCAAAAACGAAAGCGGCGCTGCTTCCTTTTTAGAGTGTCGACCCCTCGGAGTGACATATGCGTGTGGCGCGTAGATTCCTTGCCAAAGATAAGTCGCGGCGAAGAGTGGCGGAAAGTGGCTGAATTTCGAAAATAGTTTCTGGAAGCTCGACGTAGAAGGGGCGAAAGAAAACGAGAAATAGCCGCGGTGATTTTCTGATCTCTGTAAGAGGAGGTGCGCCTTATAGTTCTCCGTTCGTGCTGGTGGAGTGCGGTGCCTCGGTGTGTCGTATAGTTGTGCTTCGTGCGGGGTGAGGTTAGGATCGTGCAACCGAGAGAAAGAGAAGAGTGGCCGAGCGATAAACTGCGACAACCTGATTAAGTGCAAACGAGACAAAATATCGAGGCAAGGGAACACCATTCAAAGAGGAAAAGTCACACGAAATCTTCGAGAACTGGATCACACGGGCGACTCGAGAATTGCCAAAATTTTGCCAGTTTATAAAAAAGGTGAGTACGCGTGTCACCGTTGTCGGTCGTTGGTCCCTAAAAACCGATAACGAAACTTATCTTTGACAGGTTCAATCGACGCGTATCTATTTTTGTTAACCAACACCCGCGTCTATTTTTTTCCTTATCTCTAGCGCATTTTTTTTCTCTTTGTTTAAAGGTACGGTTATCGAATTTGTTCGATAAACGATGTTTGTTCGATCATCGATATCGACTGCAGTCGCTCGCGTTCGACCGTGACAGTTTGTTTTGATTCGCGTTACCGGTTCAGATCGCGAAAAAAGGAAATTCGAATTTAAATGCAGGTAGCGTCGGGATTTCACTGGCGTGACAGTTGCATCGTTCGATAGCGGTAAACGATAGACGGAGCAAGATCCACGTCGAAATAATGTCAATGCGCAGCGAGTTTCGTTCGCGAGTTCTTTCGATCGTTCGCTGCTGGTGATCGACGCGCGAGGGTTTCGCCGCTTTTTATCGTCGACGGTTCAAACGGATACCGCGAGGGGTACGCATGAGATCCGACCAGGAAAGGAACGGGGGGCTACGGTACCGGCTCTCCTGCACCCACGACTCTTCGCGGCGCTTTCGTACGATCAGCGGAAAATTCGAACGCGCCGGAAAACCTTCCTGACCCCTGCGACCTTCGTCGTTGACGGATAAAGAGCAGAGCAGGGAAATCCGGTGCAAAAACGAAAGCGGCGCTGCTTCCTTTTTAGAGTGTCGACCCCTCGGAGTGACATATGCGTGTGGCGCGTAGATTCCTTGCCAAAGATAAGTCGCGGCGAAGAGTGGCGGAAAGTGGCTGAATTTCGAAAATAGTTTCTGGAAGCTCGACGTAGAAGGGGCGAAAGAAAACGAGAAATAGCCGCGGTGATTTTCTGATCTCTGTAAGAGGAGGTGCGCCTTATAGTTCTCCGTTCGTGCTGGTGGAGTGCGGTGCCTCGGTGTGTCGTATAGTTGTGCTTCGTGCGGGGTGAGGTTAGGATCGTGCAACCGAGAGAAAGAGAAGAGTGGCCGAGCGATAAACTGCGACAACCTGATTAAGTGCAAACGAGACAAAATATCGAGGCAAGGGAACACCATTCAAAGAGGAAAAGTCACACGAAATCTTCGAGAACTGGATCACACGGGCGACTCGAGAATTGCCAAAATTTTGCCAGTTTATAAAAAAGGTGAGTACGCGTGTCACCGTTGTCGGTCGTTGGTCCCTAAAAACCGATAACGAAACTTATCTTTGACAGGTTCAATCGACGCGTATCTATTTTTGTTAACCAACACCCGCGTCTATTTTTTTCCTTATCTCTAGCGCATTTTTTTTCTCTTTGTTTAAAGGTACGGTTATCGAATTTGTTCGATAAACGATGTTTGTTCGATCATCGATATCGACTGCAGTCGCTCGCGTTCGACCGTGACAGTTTGTTTTGATTCGCGTTACCGGTTCAGATCGCGAAAAAAGGAAATTCGAATTTAAATGCAGGTAGCGTCGGGATTTCACTGGCGTGACAGTTGCATCGTTCGATAGCGGTAAACGATAGACGGAGCAATAATCGATAAGCGCTAATGACGAATCGATACGAGATAACTCTACGGTATTCTACGCAGGTTCGTAGGCGCGAAAAGGTAATTTTTTACGACAGGATATTTTTACTTAACCGTGAACGATGTACACACATCCGAAGTCGAAAGTATCTTGAAAGTAATCCAAGCGAGATCATAAAGAAAGTTAAACGCAGTCGTGGCAGTCGCTTTTTCGCGGTGTTCTTCGAATTCGTATGTTGGAAGAAAAGTCGGTTCGCTCGTCGTTTAACCTCGAATGTCTCGGTTCGCCTAACCTTGAAATCCCACTCGTCGCCTCTTGCGTGTTTTTAAAACACTCGATCTTGGCTCTCGTGGGACGCGCGCATGCGCACAACCGTTGGTCCTTTATTTTTCTCCGGTTACCCCCGTTCTTTCTGCCTCTTGCCTTCCCGCGTGCCCGTGCTCTCGTGGCTTCGGCAAAATTTCAATTAAAATCCTTCCCGGTATCGGTGACACCGGTAAGCCCGATTTAACTTTTAAATCGAATTCAGACTGGTCGAAAAAACAGAGAAAGCGACCTATGCCTTACCTTGAATCCGCCTTCCTCTTTAATGAAATTTCGCGCGCTTTTTATGTATGTATTTTCTACGAATATCACGGGATCTCTGTCATTGAAAATTCAACATACGGTTGTTTGAAATTTGTACAAACTCGACGGACAATGTCGCTATTGTGTCGCGTAGAAGTTTCTATAACTTCACCGTGAAACAAAGGATATTTTCGCGACAATTTTATCGATAACTCGCGTTCGATCCTTCACAATGGCGGGAGTCAATATTTTCGAGACGCGTACGCGAACATGGTACCGCTTTTCCATTGTTCATTCCGCGGTGTTGTGTTTACGTCGTTCGGGAATGCTAACTGTTCCACGAATTAAAAAAGGAAAAAGAAAACGACGGGATGAAATATTATATGAATTTCCACGAAATGAAGTTATTCCGATAAATTTCACTCGGAGGAATTCGAAGAAGTTTCAGAAATGAAAAAATACTTTTACATTTTTCATATATTTTGCCGAATAGCACCACTCTCTTTGTACATATTTCGATGCGAATTTACATCGTTTTTACCTTACTCCGCCCGTGTACAACAATTTCGTTATGATTTAATAAAAAGCGGAGTGCGTAATATTCTGTTTCGTTGATATAACCTACGAACCAAAATTCTACTTTTCCGTATTAATATTAACATTAATATTTCACGTCGTACAAGTACAAATTAGAGAAAAAGCAAAAGAAGATCGCGATCGTCGAAATTTGTTTTATCGTACTTTGCACTAGTTGGTTCGCGTATAATTACTCCAGCTTCGTCCTGGAAATGGTAGGAACTACTAATTTCGTGACGCTGCCGCAACATTTATTTAACTGTCGTATACTTTGGCTGACAGTTCAGCGTACATTTCACCGCGGTAATAACACTTTTCCGTCCGAAACACCGCAAGAATGTTTTGAGAAGAACGACGCACGAAATTACGGCGATTAGCCGGCGCGATTCGTTTCAGCCTCAAAAGAACCCACCGTCGGGATTGAAAAATGAAGGGAACGGAAATAAAGAAACACGAGGTTAAATATTTTT